TACCTACTTACCTACCTAACTAACCTACCTACCTAACTAACCTACCTACCTACCTACCTACCTACCTACCTACCTACCTACCTACCTACCTACCTACCTACCTCTAGCCTTAGGTACCCAAGCAACTAACCCAACTAGCCACTTAACAAACCAGCCTGCCTGCCTGCCTGCCTGCCTGCCTGCCTGCCTGCCTGCCTGCCTGCCTGCCAACCTACCAACCGGACGAACGAACGAAGTAACGACCGTGTATGTAAATATGTACGTATGTATCTATGTTTGTATGTACGTGTGTACGTAGGTAGGTAGTTATGTAGGCAGGTCGGCAGGGATGGCAGGGTCGGTAAGCATGTAGGTATGTAGGCGCTTAAATATGTCCGTATGGAAGTATATATGCATGTATGCATGCATGAATGAACCTACGTGCTGTGTGTATGTATAGATGGACGGATGGATGTATGGATGTATGGATGTATGCATGTGGATGTATGATTGTACAGATGTATGCATGTACGCATGTATGCATGTGCGCATGCATGCAAAAAGGAGTTTGTGCGCCTAGATACGTATGTGTGAGTGTGTGCATGTATACGTGATTATGTCATATGTAATGGCAGGTGTGTGTGTGTGTGTGTGCGTGTGTGCGTGTGTGGGGGGGGGAAGGGGGGTATGTGGGTATATGCGGATGCACTGATGAGAGCCTAGGTAAAAACGTTCATGTGTGCATGTGTGTCTGGTCCGGTGTTTCGTGGCATGGCATGGAAAGCCTAGCATCGCATGGTATGTATGTACACGTGTGTGTATACATATATATATATATTATGTATATACACATGCATATAAATATAAAAATATATATATATATATACATATATGGAGAGTATGTATGTATATATGTATGTATGTATGTATGTATGTATGTATGTCTGTGTATACATGTATACACGTATAGTATATGTGTATACAGACATCTATCTATCTATCTATCTGTCTATCTATCTATCTGTCTATCTATCTATCTCTCTATCTATCTTTCTACCTATCTATGTATCTATCTATCTACACATCTATCTATCTAACTGTCTGTCTATCTGTCTATCTGTCTACTTATCTATCTACCTGTCTATCTACCTATCTATCTGTTTGTCTGTCTGTCTGTCCGTCTATGTAAACAACAAAAAGTATATATATATATATACACATACACACATGTGTATATATGATATAAGCACGCCTTGTGTAGTGTGTGTGTGTATATAGTACACATGCAGTAGATGATAAAGACTTGCTTGCCAGGTATCTTGCCGCATAGTCGACAGAGAAGTGGGGCCATTCAATGCGTACTGTTGGTATGTAACACCACGCACGCTTGCTTCTTTTTGCAGTGGCATGTTTCTCAAGGGAGGTGAGTACGCTACTCGGACAGCTGATCATAGAGCTTCTTCATAGCCTAAAGACGATTGCATAGGCCTTGTTCCCAAGTTTCTCGGAGACCGAGGAGAAACGAGCTTGTCCTGGAGGTGCTGAGAGTGCTGCGGGTAAATTTGGGACCTGAAAGCATGCTTCTGCTCATGGAGAGTCGGTTTTCGGTGGCTGTTCCACAGGGTAGTGTTAGCAAAGGCTCTCTTGCCGGCAGGTCGTCGCTGGGTACATGAATAATAACTTGGCAGCCGGCCGGACCCAGGACTCTTCGAAATTGGCCACTGCCATGGGATTTCCAGTGATAATGTGGTTGTGACCAGAGATGTCTATTGCGTATAGGCATGCCCCTTACAACTCTCAAGTTAAGTTGTCTGTGGGCCTGTCTGGGAGGCTGGACTTCGTTTCTTGTGATTCTTACAATGAGGTTAATTCTACTGCAGGTGTTTGGCCTAGAGAATCGCAACCCTTGCAAACGCCGCACTCAAGAAATGAAGCTTTGGTAAGAACTCGAAGATGAAACCGTTCCAGCAAGGGCCAACTCCGCATACGTACGAGAAGCCCTATCTCTCTCTCTTCTCCCTCTTTCTCTCACAGATGGATGTATGGATGCATGTACATATTTACATATTGCCTTGGATACGTAAATACATAAACGGCAGATCTAAATTCATGGATCCATCGATCTATCTATCTACCTATCTATCCACCTGCTTGCCTGCCTGCCTGCCTGCCTACCTATGTACGTATCTGTCTATACAGATCTACAGTACATACATGCATGCATGCATGCATGCATACATACGTACATACGCAACAACACACACACACACAGACACAGACACAGACACAGACACAGACACAGACACAGACACAGACACAGACACAGACAAACACACACATACTCACACACACATGCACACACACACACATGTGTACATGGGCAATTTTGCTGCTCTCTCCCCCTCCTGCGTTCCCTCCCCCCCGCTGTCCCTCCCTCTCTCCCTCGCTCCCTTCCTCCCTCCCTCCTGCCCTCCCTCCCTGTCTTTATCGGTATTTACCGTGAGCATGTCTGGAAGCATATGCATGAGGCATGCAAACTCAATTGGCATGCACACGTACTCGGAGGATCTCGGAGGGTCCTGGTACTTAGTAAATAAAATGTTAGGTACCTTACTCGAGGTTATACGTAACTATAAGTATACGTAGCTACCTGGCTGAGAACCTACGTTACTAAGTCCCATGATCCTTTAAGTACGCGACATCTCAAACAGGATGAGCAGCAGTGGGGCCTGGTTCAGTGGCTCACCTCTGGGGCCTCGCTGGACTGGTTTTCGAGCCTCGGACGTCACCCTCGTATCTATCTATCCATAAATCTATCTATGATATTTTTTTAATATAAGTAATATAACATCTCCTGATATAGCATAACTGGTTTTCATGTCATATGACAAAAGTATTACATAACATAGTATAATACATCATCATATCTATTGCTGTATTATCACACAGTAGACAATAGTCTGTTATCTCACGAGATGAAATAGTACAGTATAGTTTAACATAATTGGTATAGAACAGTAAAGTCTCATACAATAGGTATGATGTATTTTCATACGATATAGTACGATAAAATATAGCATTATGTATTAGAGTGTAACATATTATAATAAAATATGATATATTGCAATATGACACGCAGTGTATCACTTTTGAGTTCACATAATTTCCATGTAACAGAATAGACGAGCATGGACTGTAGCACGTTGTGATCTATTAATGTCGTGATATGAAAGTATTTTAAGATTACAACATAGCATAATGTAACACAGAATATATTTCTACAGTATAACCTACAACAATAAAACACAGTACAAAATGAACCGATCTAACATAACTTAATACAATATGATATAGTATAATATGGTAAAGTATAGTACAGCACAGTATATTGATCATATAGTTTAAAAGTATGCTTTACTGCAAGACAATCCAATATACTTTAAGAATAATAGTATGTACCATGAGATAATATAATATAGTATCGTATAACTAAATACACTCAAACATAATATAACATATCACAATAGAACATAGTACACTATAGTGAAACAGAACACAACATAACATTGCAACGGTTTTTCGAACTAGTCGATTGCTCAGACTTCTCACAAGCTGAAAGCTCTCTCAAACTCGAAGCCCTGGCCAGGCCAAGACGCCTGGACTCTTGTTAGAGCGTGCAAGAGTTTGACTTTTGTTCCGTTTTTGGGGGTCAAGGCCCCGGTTTAGGGTTTAGGGTTTAGGGCCCTGCACAAACCTCGGCCCTAAACCCTTAACTTTAAACTCCCACGCGCTACACCCTAAAACCTCTCCCTTCAGCTCCTAAGTGTCCTCCAGTTTCCAGGATGCTACAATATACAATAATATTGTATAGTATAATATAGTCTAATACAGTAGAATGCAGTGAAATATAGTAAAATATAGTATAGTATCGTATAGTATAGTATAGATTACTATCGTATACTATCGTATACTATAGTATACTATAAGGGATATGTATAATATACTATAGTATCATACTAATATATGTTATCTCATGAGTTCCCAGGATGCCCGAGTGGGGCCCGAAGACCGGTCACCTCTTGGAGGAGCCCCCGCCCGGATGCAGCGATGTAGGCACCGCCCTTGGGGGGGGGTTTCAGGAATTAGGATTGTCGCATTTAGGATTTAGGATTTAGGAATTAGGATTGTAGGATTTAGGGTTTAGGATTTAGGGTTTAGGTTTTAGGGTTTTAGCATTTAGGATTTGAAATTTAGGGTTTAGGGTTTTAGGATTTAGGATTTAGGGTTTTAGGGTTGCGGATTCAGGGTTTTAGGGTTTAGGGTTTAGGATTTAGGAATTAGGATTGTAGGATTTAGGGTTTAGGATTTAGGATTTAGGTTTTAGGGTTTCGGATTTAGGGTTCCAGGGTTTAGGATTTAGGGTTTGAAATTTAGGGTTTAGGGTTTTAGGATTTAGGATTTGGGGCCATTTAGGGTTTAGGCTTTAGCATTCCGGTGTGTCCGAACCCGGAGGAACTTCGGAGATAAATGGTGAAGGCTCTAGGGTTTGCAAAGGTTTGCGATTCAGCACGAGCGCGGGGCTGTTGCAAGGCCAAGTTCGATCACATAGGCCTGGTATTGACATAGGGGTGAAACGGATCTTCGCAAGGCCCAGAGTGTCATTGCCGGTGACATTGCAGCGTATGGTCGAGTATGCTTACGTTTTCTTTTCGTGACAGATAGGTCGGACACCCCTAAACCCTAAACCCCACAATCCTCATGAAAGAATCTAAACCCGAAGCCCTGAAAGAATCTAAACCCTAAACCCTGAAACCCCCTAAACCCTTAACCCTTAAACCCCCTAACCCTGAAACCCTTCGTCCCCGTGATTTCTGCACCTTTGAGTCGAAGCACAGGCTTCCCACAGACCCTCTGCAGGGTTTACGATCTGAGGTTTCGGGATTCAGGGTTTAGAGTTTGGTTGGGATTTCGGGTTTAGCGTTTAGAGTTTGGGATTTAGGGTTTCGAGTTTGGGATTTTGTGCTTAGGATTGAGGGTTCAGAATTTGGGTTGCGGGCTTGGCGGTCCTAAACCCGAACCCCGCACCGAGCAGGGACCCACGTGGAGACTGGGCCCTTCTTCGGGCGGATCTCGCTTATACGGACACCTCCAGGTTCCTTGGGGCTGGGTTTAGGCTTCAGGATTTGGAGTTTAGGGTTTGGGGTTGGGGGTGAGGCGTTTACAGATAGCATAATGGCGGTCAAAACCATGATGCCAGCATTGGTAAGGATTCCTGCTTCCGGAAAGCTGTTTGCATGTACTGTTCTGCAGGTGGTCGCGTCTCCATTGTGATGATGTCGGTTCCGACGCTGACAGCGGTGGTGTTCATGGTGATAGTGACGATGCTTATGCTGATGCTGCAGCTGGTGATGTACACGATGACGATGGTAAGGCTTGCTGAGGTCGAGGATGATTCAGGTGGTGATGATCACGATGATCAGAATTCCATCATACCGAATCATTGGCAATTTGCTTCCGTTTTGTAGCGGCCGAAGTTCGGCCCCAAGGTTGGAGAATCGTTGGCTCAGCCTGTCCATCTCAAACCCTAAACCCTAAACCCTAAACCCTAAGCCGTTGCATGGGTTCATCTGGGAGTCGGGGATCGGGGGATCGCGAGTCCTGGAGCAGTGGAAACAGGATCCGCATCCTGGTCGCTACGCCCAACCTACTTCTGTGGCCTTCATAATTACCTTGTCTATTTTGGGGGTTCCTTCGTAGAATCATAGTATAATATGCATACGGACGAACTTCTGCTCACAGTTCTTGTGGTGCTCGAGCTATAGCCTCCAGGACAGCGCGTGTCATCCCGCTTTGTAGAACCATGGCGGAGTACAAGTTGGCAGTTGACTCCAGCAAGAAGGCCACAGAGCTGCCGCTACTGAGAGTCTGTGGCACTGTGCAGCAGAATCCTCACATGCGCGCGTTCTGGGCTAGCACAATATCTTTCTTCCTTGCCTTCCTGGGCTGCTTCGTAAGAACGACTCTGCAATCTTGTGACTTTCGAGTTTAGCTCGTTTCGACATGTACACTGATATCTGAACTCCTAGTTTTGCACTGTCTCAGCCGCCGAGGCTGGTTTGCCTTGGCGCCTTTGGGCCTCGAAGTTGCGACCAGCATGGGGACATGCGAGAACCAGCTCTTCCCTCCCACAGACTTCCCAACACGACCAGCCTACTTGAAGTTCAAGAACTTGAAGAGTGGGCTGAGCTATTGCCAGTATGGGGTCCTCAAGGAGGACGGCAAGCCGATCGATTGCAAAGATGTCCCCGCCGATGTGGCAACCGCTGAGCAGAAGGAGAAGTACAGGCCCCAGGTGCTCGCAAAGTGCGTGTGCACCCCAGGCACGGAGTGCAAGTCGGTGACCTGTTCAGCCAATGGCAGCACTTTAAGTTTTCGGCTTATATATTGGGTCTATGATAGAAAGCTTGAATTTTTTTAAGCCCGGGTATTGGAGAAGAGAGGTGATTGCGAACGCGGGCGTGGCCTCGGTCGCCTCGACCATCTTCGTGAGGGTAGCGTTGGGGACGCTCCTGGAGCGCTTTGGCCCCGTGACTTGGCAAGAAGACCCACTTCCAGAACCTGCTAATTGATCTGCTAGTTATTACAAAGTGGTCAGCACCCCTAAGTGCCGCCATTGCCTGAGGTGAACGTTCAGTGTGGCTTGATGTCCTTCGGAGCCTTCTGGGTGGCCATGGCAGCCGCGATTACGGCTCCCTGGAACTACACGCTGATCCGCTTCTTCATAGGCTCACCGGAGTGGAGTGACTATAGTATATTACAGCAATAGTAGCAACAACATAGTATTTTCATGGTAATATTATCTTAGGAGGGGCTGGGGGGATGGCGAGAGAATCGTGGTCAGGACTAGCAGTATCGGTGTTCTAGTTCCATCCTTCGACATGGATGACTATAATATAGAGGACTTACTAATTAGAATAGGGTTTGGGGGTACATTATACTATGTAAATACTATAATATATAAGGAACCCCCAAAACTCTATTCTAATTATTAAGGCCCTACATTACCCTAAGTGATACTCCTGCCCTCCCCTTCCTTCGCCTGCCTTCCTTGTCCCGGTAGGCTGCGCTGGCGCCACTTTCGTGACCAATCAGTTCTGGTGCTCGCTTATGTTTGCCCCCAATGTTGCCCGAGCTTGTTTCATATGAACTTGTTCTCCTTCTTTTGAATGTTTCAGGCCCCAAGGAGCTTGTAAACCGGGCTTTTTATAATTGCAGGTTGTTGGCACGGCCAACGCCACTGCGGCCGGTTGGGGCAACCTTGGAGGCGGCGTGACCCAGCAGCTTGCATGCGCTTCACGAAGTGCTTTGCACATTGTTCTTGAATGTGGACATTGGTTGTGATACTTAATATATGATATATCGTAGTTTTCCAACTTAGGGTCCCATATGGGTGCTGTATTAGTCTTCAAAAGGGACCCTTATTTTAGAGAACTCCCACTATCTAGAAGTGGCTGAGGATTTTTATGATGTCAGTACTTTTCAACCCTATGGTCGCCTCCGGGCTGGAGCCGAATGTCGCTTGGCGTGTCTCCATGGTGGTGCCAGCGGTCATGTTCGTGCTTTGCGCCATCTGTATGAAGCTCTTGACCCCTGGCCGATTTTTCAGATATGATTTGCCTGGCTTGAGCCGAAGTTTTTCGATAAACTTGGCTGAACAAAAGCATCCGTTCTCCGGCCAATTAGCCAAGGTGCTGGGATATGCCTACGGCACGCAACTACGATCCGACCGTGACCGGCAAGACACAGAAACCTTCGATGTGGGACTACGTCGAGGTGCTGCGCGACCTTCGCGTCGTGGTCATGATCTTCCAATATTCCGCGTGTTTCGGCACAGATCCCCGTCAGCTCAGTTTAAGGTTTCGGAACGCATTTGTGCAATTGTAGGCGCATAGAAATCCTTAGTGCAAGGTTTCACACCTTTGTTCGAGCATGGAAAACGGGAACACACCCTTGCGACCTTGTGGGGTTAAGAGTGGTTTTGCGTGTGTGTTAAGAATTCGAAAAAGTGCTTGAGCTTGAGGCCCATCCTTAAGTTAATGTTCTACACCGATCACACATTGGCTCCTTGTCGTTACAAATTTGCCACGCGTGAGGAACTCGCAATGAACAATCAGTTGGCTACGCATTTTCGGACGTACTTCCAGATGGATGCAGGTGCGTGCTGTCTGGACAGTAGTTTGGAATCCAGATGAGACAAGTTCGTTGCCGATACACGAGGCGCGCTGACATAGACTCGAGTGTCGAAACCTGGGCGACAGGTGATGCCAGCGCCCTGGCGGGTGCTTTCGGCTTGATGAACCTCTTCGCAAGATCTCTGGGAGGCCGTACTCAAGTCATGTGCGACTGTTAAGCTAGTGCTGTTGCTTTGGAGGCATCAGCAGCGATATTTGCTTCAAGTATTTCGGCTTCCGCGGCCGCATCTCGGACCCATTTAAACACATGTTAGGGCTCGGTGCTTCTTGAGTGCAGAAGCAGAAGCTGCGGTCCTTTCGACGGGGCAAGGCATTTGGGCTCAGTTCCTGGCACTCTTCTTCGAAGCTATCTTCCTGTTCAGCTTCGGAAAGGCCTGGCCCAAGACAAAACTTGGGCGCTTTTCCTGCCAGAAAGCAGATCATGATGATGATAATGATGATGATGATGACGAAGATGATGGTGATGATGATCTTCAGGTGGACAATTCGCAGCCTTGGTACGTGGCCTTGGCAGTCTTGGTTTGCTTCTCGCTCTTTGTGCAGATGGCTGAGGCGGGCCCCGCTCAGCAAACCGTGAAGTATGTTGTAAGTAAGAAGAAAAAAGTAACATAACCTACAACATTAATAGAATCATATCATAAGACACGATAAGATAAAACATAGCAGAGCAGATTCGTCGTGGGATAAGCCTTCCCGACTGGTAGCCTCTGAGGGCACCTCCTACGGCATCGTGCCCTTCATGAACAGGAAGCTTGGATCAGTGGACGATTGTAGTTGCCACCTACGGTCATGTTTTAGGGTTTAGGGTTTGGCAGCAACTCATTTTCGTAGAAGTAGTTCTTTCTAGGAGGGTGGCGACATGCACACATCAGGAAGCAGCTCGCAGTGGTGTCCGCGCTCGTGGGTGCCGGTGGAAACCTCGGGGCAGTGAGCCTTGGCGGCAGGCATTCTTGTACGGAACGCACTGGGGGCCGTCTGATGAGGCGGTTCATTCCGAGAGATTGACCGTTATGCAATCTCCCAGACGAGGCCTTCTCCATCTCTCAAGAGGATTGATTGTTCAAGTCTGCCATGTAGAATCGCGTCTCCCCAAAGTATACGGATCAGGATGATCAAGACTATTGTAGAGCGTGAGCAGTACAAATCTGTCTGGGGCCCAGGATTGCAGGCTTCTGCTTCTACAAGCCGATCCAGGATGCCCTGCTGCCTTTCCAGGCAGGGTCGAAGTTCAAGGCTGCTGTTCGTCTTGGGGTTCAGGGCCCTCTTCTGTTCGTGGACACTGTTCAACCTAGACTCTTATGAATCGCTACTCAGGGCCCTTGGGCTGGGCTCCTTCGTTAGACAGGTCCATGCGGGCTATGTGATGTTTTGGGCGCTGCTGAGCCCCTGCTACTACTGGTCCGAGATGGGTGGAATGTTCCACGGACCNNGCGGATCCTTCGGTTCTCTTTCGAGTCGAAGATTGCTTTGCGACATACCTAGGAAGCTTTTGAATGTGTTCAGGGCATGTGGAGATTCTGCACCATTTGTCTTTCGGCAAGCCGGTAGGGCAACGGTATATGTCGGCTGTCAGGGTTGAGTGGCTGGAAGTCTGAGCTTTGCAGGGCAAGACCAGCGGCGACTACGGAGAGTCCGAGGCCACCACTGCAGCCTCTGAGAACGCCATGTGAACTGGCAGTCCCTCGAGGTGAACCTTTATGCTAATTCGATTGCTCGAGCCAGTCTTGTGTAGTCCGGTGCCTTGGCATGGAGTGCAATGCACCGGCGAGTTCAGACAAGCCCGCCACTTGGCAACAGCCGTGCGCAGGGGCCTGCCATCTCTGCATAGTGAGTGCCAAGCACATGACTTGGTGCGACCAGCCAATAGACACGGAAAATC